GATATAATATCCATTAACGATTGGCTAAGAAAATATATTCAGGAAAATTTGAAGAACATTGTCGCGAAAATTGGGTAGAAAAACAAAACATTCGGGTTTTGCAGTCTAAGTTAGCATTGGTTGACAATTTTTATAATTTTTATTTCGAGACTCTTGGCTGCTTAAATGTCTGAAATTTCTCCTGCATTTTCGCACTTTGTTCTTGTGAAATATTCATCAGAACTGTAGTTCCTTGTGAAGCGGCTTAATATGGAGGAGGAGGGAAGGATAACGAAAACTTGGTAGATTTGTGTGTCCGTTGAATTGAAGGATTGAAAGTTCTTTTTGGATAATATAAAATGTGGCTTCACAAACTGATAGATCGCTTTGTTACTAGACAGCAAGGCGTCCTTCACAAGCGGTAGCACAAGTATGAGGAGGATGTTCCTCATACTGCGAAAAAAATTGTGCAATATTACCCGAAAAGTACTAAAATTTAAAAAAAATGCATATGACATTAATGAAAGAAATCACTATGGAGAACAAATGTTATTTGAAGGGAAAATATCTTCATTTGTGTAGTTGTAAAAATTTTGAAAGTTCGAAAATTCATATATAAACCTGAAAATCTGTTCTATGGCACCTGTATAAGTATATTTTACTCCATTCTTACAAGAAATTTAAAGAAAAAATTCGGAGCCGTTTATGAGATAATTTTGAAAATGTCTGGAAGGCTTTTAAAAATCTAAAATTTTTTCAATATCTCAAAGATTCGACTCGAGCCAGATCAACGTTTCTTCAATTTGGAAAAAATCCTACGCATAGTTTAGGCGCTAGAAGTGTTTACAGACACCAGACGAAGAGACGGACGTATTTAAAAAATCACTTTTTCGGTATCAGAGGACCCCAAAACGTGAGTTTCTGTTACTTTCCTTATACTAAGTATATTACCCCGTATATACGTTCATGTTGGAAATTAGAAAGTTGTGTTATGATGCGGAAAAGTGGTTTCGAGATTTTGACGTTAAAACATGTCTCGAGGTTCCCTGATACCGGGAAAGTGTTTTTTTCTAAAACGTCCGCCCGTCTGTGAACACCACTAGCGTCTAAACTATTAGTAGAGTTTTTTCGAAAATAAATATTCTCCGATCGATCTGGCCTGATTCAAAGCCTCGAGATTTGGAATATATTTCTTTAAATTTTGGTGATAACGAAGCCTCAGGGACATTTTCAAAATGTTCTGAAAAATGCTTAAAAAAGTTTTTCTTTATACTTATTGGGAAAATAGAATGAAATAGACTAAAAAAGATGGCCTAGATTCGATTTTCACTGTTATCTCTGAATTTTCAAAAATTGGATTGGTTTGGTACTTTTTGCACCCACTCGTGCAACTGAATTATTCTAGACAAGTATTTTTTCTTCTTGAAATGTAAATTCAAATTCCTCACAATTAGTTTTTCACAGGTACGCTCATTTTTTAATGTTAGCCTTTTCACACAATTTTGAGAAAATGAAGATAATAAATATAATAATATTATAAACTAAATTTTCTCAAAAACAGCCCAAAATTTTTTCGTTAAACTTTTTTATGCTTTTTTACTTTACTAAATGCACTGTGTAACATGACATCGACATTTTTGTGTATTCTATTAATTTTTCAAAAATTACACAAATGTAATTTTTTATACCACATCATTCACGTCGTTACTATTTACATTACTAGCGTTTTTTATACTTTACTGCATTTGTGAGTGCATGCGATGCAAATAATATTTGTTGACTCCTCAAAACATATATTTTCTGTGAAATATGAGCTCAAAATTGTGCATTTTCAGAAACGTGCAAAAGACATTTTCTCAAAAGCAGGTCTGTATTTTTAATGAAAATTTGCATATAAAACAAGGTATTACTATTCTAAAATATTATAAAAGTCATATTTCAGTTATTTTTGCAATTTATATTTTTTTAAATGTCATGAACTTGAATGCCACTCCTAGGTATATTTGTTTTGCATCGCACAAAACATGGGTTCAATGTACACCACGGGTTATAGAGGAAATAATGTACTGGATAGAGCAACATAATTTATTATCTTTTTCGTTATCAGAGCTCGGCGGGAGTTTTTGTATCGAAAAGTCGCCGTTTTGCGCCGCATGATTACACAACTTTCTCTTTTTACGAAGTGCGAGAGAGTAAAAAATTGGTGTTTGTTAAAATATGAGAAAAATATATTTTCTTTGGGAGGTTGGAGTTTATGAACCTTTATTGAAAAGAAGTTAGAATATATACTATATAGAATTATCGACTCACGGCTTTGGATAAAGATACATTTTTATATCTTATTATTCAGGACTGCTTCAAATTTTACACTTGAAAGGAAGGTAAACTGAAGACATACATTTGTTCATGAAGTTTTGAAATTTGACCATGCGTTTACACTACGTATTATCTTGTTGCGTAAGTGTGCAATGAGGAAAGCTCCGTTTTGCCCATCGTTGTTTTCGTAGAAGGGTTTAACACTCGCTAACGAGCAATGCAACTGATCACATCCTCTCTTAAACGTCACTTGTGTACAAGAAATGGCAAAAACATGGTTTTCTTGCCCCTTTTCCTCTATGCTGTGGCGCTAGTAGATATTCAGAACTATCGACTCACAGAATTTTGGATCTTGAAAAATATGGCTGATGCTGATTTTTACATTGTTTAAAATGCATGATTTCTGAGCTAAGTGACCTTGAAAATCCGTCATGTGGTCATCACCATGATTCTGAATTTTTTTCCCTTTGGAGCCGGTGTTTGGTTGTAAAGGAATTCGATTAATCAGAACTTTTTGTAATGTAATGAGATTAACTGACAGAAGAGAGTCTTTTAGAGACTACGAGTACTTGCAAACATTTCCTTTGTCAGCAGGACCCTTCTCTGTTATGTGTACACTTGAAAATGTAATATAAATAAGATAGTGATGAGAATGAATATAAAGAAAGCCAATTGGGAAGACCAATTAAACCTGTTTTAAGCATGTTTTCAAGATAATGATGGTTATCACAAGTGGCTGCTTAATGTAGGTTATGATAGAAAGGAAAGCGCACGTATGTCCTAATTTTTCTATTTGCCCTGTAGTTTAGAAAACATTCGTTGTTATCACTTTTTTATTTACATTTTACTTCAAGTTACCTGAAACGTTTTTTTATCTTCGCCCTGAAACATCTCGTATAGAAAATCATCAAAAACCCAGTTCTTACAATCTTATATTCAGAACAGTTGTTTTTCCCTTTCGTGGCCTTAATTTCCTATAATAGAAAATGAAATATACATACTCTGAAATTCCAGAAAATCATCAATTGTTAACTAAAATAAATTAATACCCCCGTAATATAAGGAACTCTACATGCCAATGATTCACATAATCTGACTTTGCGTTCCGGCGCTGTAAGATATTGAATCATCAAAAATCTCCTCCTTCGTCCTCTTCTTATTCCGATACGGACCAAAATCACAAATTCATTAGGAAGTTATAAGCGTTTAATGCAGATTAATCTAGGAAGTTTCTCTTGGTCGCAGACTGCGGTTTGAGGTGATCGCTTAACAGAGTGTTTTATGGGAAACTTAAGTGTCTTATGGAAAATTTATCGTTCCACGATAAATTAGCTATCAATAGAGGTGGCCGCTTAATCGAGGTGTCCGTTTCATCAGGTTTCACTGTAACAAAGCAACTCACGCCGCCGGCCGCCGCAGGGGGCGGCCCGACAGGCGGTCGGTGGCTTCCCGCAGGCGCTGGAGCGCGTAGCTGAGCGCGCCGTGCGGGTCCTCGTGGAAGTGGTGTCCGCTGGCGGCGAGACGCGCGGAGTCGCCGCTGCCGCCTTCGGCCGCTCTGAAGCTCATCTGCACGTACTCGAAGGCCCGGTGCTCCTGCCACACGGCGTCGTGCCCTTCGGGGCTGCATCGCCGCAAGTCGCGCACGTGGTCGCCTATGATGCGGCTTCGGCGCCCGCTTCCCGGCGGCGTCGCGCAGCGCGTTAGCAACAGCTCCTCCGGGGTGCCCTGCGACTGCTGATTGCCGCTGCGGGAGTCTCCTTCGTCTGTTGATTGCGTCACAAGCGCAGCAATGGATCTCTCGGAGGCGTCGTGGGAGCTGTAGTATTCATCGTCGTCCGAGTTCACGTCGGCGGACGAGGGCCGAGAGGCACCGGGCGGCGGCGGCCCCAGCGCACGCCCCGCTGGAAAGCGCCTTTCCGATGGCTTGCGCCTCGCCGCCATGTCCGCAGAAGGCTCTTCGGGGGAGCCGGCCGCCTCGGTGGAAGTGCTCGGCGAGGGCCCGGCGGCGGGGGCCGGCGGGCGCGGAGGCTGCGACGCAGCGGGTGCGTGGGCTTCCGAGGAGATTTCGCACGAGCGGTCGGCCCCCGCGCGCGGCGTCTGGTCGTCGTCTGGGGGCGGTGGGGGCGGCGGGGGCGGCGCCTCAGGAGTCAGCAGCGGCTGCGCAGTGTCGTCTGCTCTCTCGCTTACTCGTCCAGAAAGCCTGCGCTGCAGGAATTCTGCTACAGACGGAATTTGTTCTAATGTTACTGCGTACGCTTGTTTTGGAACCGAGTGTTTGGCATGCACATTAAACTGAACGTGGTCGCCTTATCTGTGTATAAATATGGAAATGTAATGTTGTGAGATCTTGATCTTACATAGTTCTGGATTGTTTACTGAAGATTTAAAGAGGATGATGCAATGAATTCGTTACTGAAAATTACAATAGTTGAAAATCTGATTATATCCAGATTTTAAATTAGATGTTAAAATATTTCGAAATAAAACTACCTGCCTGGTTTGAATAGTATTGATGATTTTGGTATTTGTTCGGTTATAGACACTAAAGGTGGCGGAAATGATGATGTATCCTTATTTTGTCATTTTAATTAGTTTATTCTCACAGTTGTTTTGTTGTACAGAAATTTCACGTATGACTTGACAAATTCGAATGAATAATTTGTTGTAATGTATGAAGTTAATATGTTTTGTTTTGTTATTTGCAGGTGAGTTGCAGTTTGCTCATTACATTTCAGTTCATCATGATATGCTTGCGATTGAGTTTTATACATAACAACAATTGGTAAGTCTTAATGCTCAACATAATCACTTTTATGATTGTTTTTCAAAATAATTATGTAATAAAAAGTTCAAGTAGATACAATTTACAGCATTTTTGGTATGTGATATTCTTCTCTACTTTTTGTCTGTTTTCAACTTACGTATCATATGATTAAGTATTAAGTTTTTAGCATATTTTGTGTAGCATGGAATACCGTCAGTGTTGCTCTAGATATTTTTGTAATACGTTAAAATTATAAATGCCTCATGATTCTATTGTCAAATCCTAATAAAATGTGGAGCTGTATTTTGTACAAAGAGGTAGTACAATAATGTTATCCAATTGTTCATGCAGTAAATGTAATATTGTTATATTTTTCTTGGGTGTGTCTTTAGGAAAATAATTGCCACCATGATGAAAGAAACAGCTATTTTGTTTGGTACTAAAATATTTATAAAAGGCTGATTAAAGTGTCGGTCCTATACTGAACATATCAGGGCATTAATTCCTGAATATGACGTTATTTTATTCTCTTTATAATCATAAAAATGGGTAAATGAATACCCATAGATCGAGGAATAGATATAATGTACGTAAATTACATAGCGACGGTGACCTCTGTCAAATCCTTGGTCTTTTAATCACACGGCGAATTCTAGTTCGTGCTTACCCCATTTTTGAAAGCTGCTGCAGAGGGCGTCCCATAGGCGCTCGACCTTCCACATTCTGGAAGGGGCCCGCCGTCGCGCGGTGGCGACCCGCCCGCTCTGACAATGGAGCGCAGCAGGCACACACACCTGCAGCCCGGCATTGTCGAAGGCTTCGACACTGCATGGACACGGTGGCATGTGACACATTGATAATTTGCTTATTTCTTGTGTCCGAATAACGTGAAAAGACGCTTTGTTATGAATTTACAATTAATATAAAGATTATTTATTGCAAGAAATATATTTTTATTTTGATGAACTAATGTGGAAAACAACTTGTGCTCGACTTGCGCAAAAATCTTAGTTTTTATTGAATTGAATTAATGTCTTATTTTATGTGGCGATATTGTCATTGAAAATTTCAAATATTGTATGTTAAATTAAATAAAATAACATTTTCTATATCATTTCAAATTTTCTAATTTTGCTTTGTAAGCGGAATAAATAGACTCAAGTTTACATAAGATTACTAATGAAAGTTATAAAGAGTTTGTTAAGGAAGCATTACGAATTTGCATGTGCATGAATGATTATAAAGATATTATATCAATATGAATATTACATCATAGGTTAATGTGTCTTTCCTGAAGTTGTTTACAACTCGAATACCTTGGAACTCTAAACTTCGGCGTCGGGTGTGTTAAAGAAGTTAGCTTCAACTTTGAATTACTTGAAGGCACATGGAACCGAAATAATTAGTAAAGTTAAGCTAACTTCTGTGACGTCTGTCTCACGTAATTTAGGGAGAATGTACGTCGTATAATTTTATTCTTTGTCTGGTTGTTAATGTAAATAACCATTCTCCGAGGAGAATCTCTACTCTGAGATTTTTGGTTCATTGCACCTGTTGATATAGACATTTTTACCCTCCTTCCTAATGATAAAATAAATGTCCACGGAATCATAAGATTTTCAAGAATATTTTTATTCTGTAATAATTTATGGATTACAGTCAATACTAATTTGGTTTAATTAATTACCATTTTTGTATTACAGAATGTGAAAGGTGAATTTTGATCTTCATTTACTATTGAATGCATGAGGTTTATAATTTATTGACAATTTCTGTAAAATGTGTAGAAGTTCGTCCGAGGTTCTGGTCTAAATTGTCTTTGATGTAATTTCTGCAATAAAATATTTTAGTTTTTAAGAGTTTAAGTTTAGACATAGGTAAATATATTAAAGTTTCGTTATTTAAACGTCAAATTAAGGGGTATTTCTATATTTTATCTAGTTTCTTATTCCGCGTTGGAAATTGATTTCCTTGCTTTAGGTCATGAATAGTATAACCTAGTGTAGCCAGTGTTCAACTGGATAGTAGAATGTAGTGAAGCCAGTGACGGATCTCCGAGGGGAGGGGCGTATAAAGGGAACCACCATCACCCACCCAAATCCAACAACATAAGACAATGATCTGTAAAAAGTATTTGTTAGTTTTCGACCGAGTTACGAATGCGCTGTTTGAAACATGAGCAAGCTCGTGGTTGAAATTACTTCTGCTTCCCATACATACGATAATCCTTGAGTGCGCACTTTACGTGCACAAGATGGGCCTTAAGTTCGACAATTCATGGCGAAGATATGGTGGACATAGTAGCACAAAAGCATTACAACGCTTTATAATAAATAAGTTTCCGTAATATATTTTGCAAACATATATCTGAAATATTTCATTTCAACCTCTAGATACTTATGTTAAAATGTAAAGGATTATATAAGTAATAGCTAAAATATGTAAAAATGGGTAATTACACCAAAATACGTAAAAATATGTAAAATAAAAATGGTTCTAATTCAGTCAGAATGACTTGTTAACTCTAAAAGTTATTATTGAAAACAGGAATCTTGTTTCTGTAAAAACATGTAATTACATGTAACTCCGTTCCCTAGTCCCCTAGTCATCAAGGAATTCAATGAAAAGTGAAAAGGTTATGCATGGTATTTGGGAGAGTTTCATCGTGCTGCAACATACAAGCCCCATTCATGCCCGTACTGGGACTCAAACCCACCAGACTGTTAAAACGCGTGCACTTTCGTGATCTCGGGCGCCTCAGGTCGGCCTACCGGTCACTATTCTACGGACTCAATATTCGTAGACTAAACAAACGCAAAATGAAATCTTCGAAAAAACTCGCGGCGTTGTGATTTATTCTTCGATGTTTGTTTTTGCGGCTCTCTGCTGGGAATGCTCCGCGGCGGCGGCGGCGGGCAGGGCGCTAGGTGATTTACGGGTGCTCGTCGGAGGCGCCATGGGGCGCCGATGCGCATCGATTGCCGGCCGCTTCATCTGCAAGTCCACGTGCCCGCCGGCCATCGCACCGCGGCCCCATTCCGCCCCCAACCTCGCGGCGAACGCTAAGGGGGCCCGGGGGCTGAGGAGGTGGGGGAGGGGAGGAAGCCGGAAGGGAGGCGCGCCAAAGGGCAGCGAGCGAAGAGGGAGAGTGAGATGTGGCGGTTAGGGAAGTGATGGAAATCAGTTCCATCTCTGGTTACCGGGTTCAAATTCTGCTCACTTCGTAGGACATTTTTCGCTGTGCAAGTTTGCGGTGGTTTTTTCGGTGTTTTCCAGTTTGGTCCCTCCTCCCGTCCCTCTCTCTCCCTCTCCTCTCCCTCTCTCTCATTCTTCGATTGCTCCCTCTTCTCTCCCTCTCCTTCTTCTTTTCTCCATCTCCTTTTCTCCCCATCTCTCTCTCTCCTTATCTCTCTCCCCCCTCTCTCTCCTTATCTCTCTCCCCCCTCTCTCTCTCTCATTCTTCGATTGTTCCATCACTCATTTCATCATTGTTATACTTATTATTTATTCATTATCTCATTTACCAACTCAGGTCGATTACTTAGGGTCATAATAAATATATGGTCCTTACAAATAAGTATTTATTATGAATATGTATTTTTTGGGAGGAATTCTCGCGACGTAATGAACAGCCCACTTCAGTTGCTCTGCCCAGGTCCAAACAACTGAATTCTTTTGGGTATTGTTTTGACCTGTCACGTAGTTGAGTGTTAAAATACTACCAGCGTAAAGGTATTTGTAGTCAATATGCATTGACAATTTGACATCTAGAAGGAGATTTTTGAGTCTCTGACGGAAAGAAGAATGGCGCGACAGTAATTTACCACTTGCCGAATCGTGGCCTCTCCATCACGGAAAGCAGTCGGCACTTCTTAAAAGGTGAAAAATATTCTAATATATGGGTTAACTGCAGTAATTTTGAATTATTTTAAATATTCAGTTTTGCCAATAATATTTTATTTTGCCTATTTCAGAAAAATGAGCGTGTCTTTCACAAATTTGAATTTCACATTTCACTCTTTCCGTCGTTCGTGACGACTTGCCGCAGTGAAGTGTGACAAAGCAAAGATAACTATAGTTATATATTGACACTAGTTACGTAAATCCAGAAATCATTGATATCTCAGTTACGCAAATAATGTAGCTATGGAAGTAATTGACACTTTAGTTACTTTAATAAGACAACGAATCAACACAGAAAAACTTGGTTAAGGAGTGTATGTTCGAGATTTCAAATGACACATAGTTCTTACGTTGACGAGACACACATGTAAAGGTAACATTAGCATATAATTTTATCCAAAAAAATAAGTGTAACAAAATAAGTATCGTAAGTCAGGTATGTCAGTAAAAAGGAAATAATAAATGTTTAACCGTCAGTAAAAGCTAGGGAGAAAATTATATGGTGACATGATATGGTGACTGCACATAGCAACTGGTAATGGAATTAACAGAGTTATACAAATAGTTGTACAAGTCAGACAAGCGAAGAACGACTTGGTCGCACAGTAAAAGCATTTAGTGTAGTTCGTTTTGGGCGTTTTTAAGGCGTGAGACCATATACGTTGGAGCGTAACCATTTAACTTGTGCTTTACTAATGAAGTGTCTTTATTTGTATCTTAGAATACATCTTAGAATATTTGATGCGAGTTTGTGAGATATATTGAGAGCTTTGGACGTGGACGGTTCAATGGATTTAGTGAAACAGTGCAATGTTCTACTAAGATTCCTAAAGACACCATCAGTACCAATTTATGGAATGGTGAATATTGTCGTGCGTACATTAATTATCATTGATATGAAAGTTTTTCGGCAAAAAGAATCAGTGTAGAGTGAAATTTATGAACCGAATATTATTTATAAACTTTAATTGGATTCATTAAGGGTTAATTCATGTGCGACGAAATTAAAAAAAGAGTGATGGAAAGAGGGATGGACAAGATGGAAAAAAAGTTTCTTAACACCTAATGACGTATGAATAGTTACACTGTAATTCTATGAGACACGCAAACCTC